AGCGAGTTCTTAACCATCGCGCCACTCGGCCGGCCCTGGACAACATTTTAAAGAAGTAAAACCAAGATGCTTTCTCCATTCACTTACAATTTATCTTCTGAATACCTGAGCCTCTTCCCAGCAGACTTGGGCTGAACTGAATTTGCTGCTGAAATGGAGGTGTGGCCCCAGTGACCTAACCCTTTTGAGGTTTCTCATTCACTCACTGTCTTGGATCCTGGTAGCATTTCTAAGTCATGGACCCAGTTGGCTCTCTCTACTCTGATGCTGTGCCCTTGGGTGTCCTAGTCTGTCCTTTAGTCTTAAGACTGTTGCCCGCTCCCAATGTGGTAATATCCAAGTAGCCCCTCAAGGGCTCGGAGGTCCATGCAAGGGGAATTCAGCCCTGCCTCAGGGGATGGGAGGACGGCATTTCCTAAAGCTGGTGGTGTTATTGAGGAAGGGGTAGGGGTGGCCTTGCCAAGTTTTTCTTAAGGTCCCAGGATTTACTTGAACTATTGGCTTTACCCTCTGGTTACAAGCAGTAGTGATGTACTATGAGCCAGAAGAATCCAAATTATATTCCTAACTTGACAACCAACTGTGTGAGCCTGAGAAAATTGCTTCATCTTCATGGGCCTTTGGGTCATAATCTATAATTGAAAGGATTAGACTACAGTGGGGTTGGCAAACATTTTCTTAAAGGATCAGCTAGTAAGTATTTCAGAGCTTGCAGGCCATAAAATCTCTCTTTCAACCACTCCACTCTGCTGTTGTAGCATTAAAGCAGCCATAGATAATCCATAAACAAATGAGTGTGTCTGTGTTCCAATAAAACTTTATTTACAAAAACAGGTGGCCAGCCTGTAAGCTGTAGTTTGCTGAGCCCCGGACTAGAGGATGTTTAGCATCTGATTCATTTCCAGCACTTTGTGACTGTACAACCTTAACAGGACTTAGCGACACCTACTGCACCAATGGTCTTCATCACCCTATTTAGTGCCTATTATATGTGTTCTCTGGCTCTTTATTGCTTTGTGTGTGTTAGTGCTGTCATCTCACCTGGAGAGCAAGCAGTTAGGTGACAGAAATAGCCTTCAGTTCTTCTACATCTTAATGGGAGCCTAGCACATCCCTGGGCATGCATTAAGAATCACACAAACAAGAACACTTACAGCAACAATAAAAGTAGTTATTACTGATGAGATGCACCGTACTTTACTGATTGAGCGGGCCAATCACTGAGAAGCAGCTCCTCCTGAGTGTTCTGTCTCCTCCTCCCTCAGCCATCGCAGAGGGGGTGAAATGTGCGCACGAGCGGGCCGTGCACCTGTTTGTTGACTCCCTGATGAATGAGGACAAGCCAAGCTTTGCGTTCCAGTGCACTGACTCCAACCGCTTCAAGAAGGGGATCTGTCTCAGCTGCCGGAAGAACCGTTGTAATAGCATTGGCTACAACACCAAGAAAATGAGGAACAAGAGGAACAGCAAGATGTACTTAAAAACCCGTGCAGGCATGCCTTTCAGAGGTAACCGTCAGTGTCCGCAGTGCCCTGGAGCAGGACTTCCCTCTTTACCCTCCTTCTAAATACCATGCTATGGAACAGGGCTCACCCCAGCCCAAGAGATATGGCCGGCGGAGTTAACTCAAATCACGGCAAATCAGATTACACTGAGCATGCCCTAGGAAAGTTAATCTTTAGAAACAAATGGCGGGGACTCCTTTTGTGATAGAAATCATAGTACTCCATGATCACAGTACCAGTATCTTAAATCTCTCTTACATTTAACTTTTCAAAGCTGTTACCTATTTGTTTTCTCATTTGATCATCACAACAAATCTGCGGTAGGACCAACAGGGGTTCAAAATGATATCTTGCTTTTTTATAACATATTATAAAACCATAAGGTTTTTTGGGTATCCTGGGTGTTGTTTTACATGAGGAAATTGAGGCTTAAAGAGCTTTGGTCCTTAATTCAAGGCTACACAGCCGAAAAGTAGCTGGGCCAGAATCCCCAAAAGGTCTCCTGAACCGCAAGTTCAGAGCTCCTTCTTTTATACCTCAGTCACTTCTTATGCCATTGGACAGAACGAGTCCAGAGAGAACCTGAAGGCTGGGCTGGACCAAAAGGATGACAGTCTATAAAAACTCAAATGTGCTGGGTGACTTAGTTTGGGTCAGGGTGCCCTGGGATGACAAGCAAGGCTCACAAATGTCTTTCTTCTGCTATTTCTGCAGTGTATCATTATCAGATGAAAATCCATGTTTTCACCTACAAGGACATAGAAGAAATCGAGCCCACCTTTTTTGTTACCCTTTATGGCACCAGTTCAGACTCCCAGGCTCTGCCTTTGGAAATGTAAGTGACAAGTTCCCTTTGCTGGGGTCAGGACAGAGACCAAGTGGGTGTCAGAGTGAGAGAGCGCAGAAGCATGCACATAGGTGCAGGAACGTGTAGTCTGAGTGCCTGGGGGAGGAACTGGGTGGTTCCAGTGGCCTCTACAGTCCTCTGTCCCTTTGTATGCTCTCCACCAAGCCCTTGATCCAAAACATTTCTGGGAGGGAAGCTCCCAGGGTGAATCAGCAACGTGACATGCTGTTGGATCCGCTGTGCAGAAAGTGCTGTTGCATTTTATTTTATTTATTTTAATTTTTAATTTTTGTTTTTTTAGCTGAGCCATCCTGCCACCTGTCGGCAGCTCAGCGGCAGCTCAGCTTGGGCTGGGAATCGAACTGGCGACTCTGTTGCTCAGAGCTTGCACTCTTGAGCGAGTTCTTAACCAACTGAGCCACTTGGCCAGCCCAGTGCTGTTTCATTTTAGACAAGACCTGATACCTGAGGTTTTAGGAAATTTGGAACATCATAGACGTCATCCCTGAACCATTTCTAATTACCTGTGGGAAGGGCACTCAAGCAATCTATATATTTGTTGAGCATGCTTAAGGTACAAAGCGTCATGCTGAGTAATGCTGGGATTGCAAAACAACATCATCAAAATACTCTCAGGGCTCAGGGTTTAGTTGGAAGACCAGGTTTGTACGCACACAAATGGGGTGAGGTAGGCTCACCAATTGCCAAATGAGAGGGTGCCTAGGAGTTGCCTGTGGGATGAGAGGAAGAGGATACTGTCAAGTGGGGATGTGACTTCTCTGTGCTTTCTCATTCTGTTCTTTCTTGTCTTGGGCCCCCACGAAGTAGTTTAAATGGGAAGGGGAGTGTGTTCAGGAAGGGCTTTGATAAGAAGCTGGGGTGCTGTAGGAAAAGTTATTTTTATGTCAGCATGGAGCACAGCTAAGCTTCCACCTTGGTCCTGCTTGTGGGGTGTGGAGGGCATGGAGGAGGGACCTCTCGCTTGTTTCTCTCCAGTCTGTGGGGGCAGGTGCTGTCACTGCTTCACCCCACACAGTGTGGCAGTTTTCCAGGTGGCAGGAAAGTGAGACCAGCTTTTCTCTCCCTTTGTAGAGTGGAGCAGATCAGGCTGAATGCCACCAACACCTTCCTGGTCTATACTGAGGAGGACTTGGGAGACCTTTTGAAGATCAAACTCACCTGGAAGGGAGCAGTTCGGCCCTGGTACGACCTGTGGAGGGAGTTTCGCAGCTACCTGTCTCAACCCCGCAAGTCTGAGCAGGAACTAAATATCAGGCGCATCCGGATCAAGTCTGGAGAAACCCAGCGGAAGTAAGTGCCTAGTGACCCTTTGCGGCCCCTCGTGAGTGGTGAGCAGAGGGTGCATGCCTCTGCAGTGTTCTTTCCTTTGCTAAGCAAGCACTTTCAATCCTTTTATATCGAGAGCACGTGGGCAAACCCTCAAGCACTTTTGCAAGGAAATGTGGATTCTAGATCCAGTCCTCTGTTAACTGTTGTGCAGTTTGTGCCCTGATCACAGGCCCTCGGCTGAGAGGGGTGGGCAAGTGGGGGCTGGATTCCAGCCTTTGTTCTGTTTGCCAAGCCTCATGTTGGCCCCCGAGGAAGGGAGGCTGCCCCTGCTCCTAGACAGGGCTCTTTCGGGGTGCTGCCTTGCTCTGGGGTCCACGCAACCAAACGTCTTTATTTGCTCCTGGGCCGAGCAAACCAGAGTATCAGGTCCGCAGAGCCCCCAGGATGAGGTCTGTGGGAGGACCTGGTTTTCCTAGCCTACTATTTTCAGAGCATTAGGTCTCTGCTTTGGAAGCTCTGAGTCAAGGACATGGGGTGGGGTCCTGACGTCAAGTAACAGAGAATCTGCTGTGCCATGCCAGCTGGCAGTTTCCCCGTGTCTGCTAACCCCAAGCCTAGCATGAAAAAACCCCAGCTTTTATCTGTCAGGCCCTTACAGCGTGCCTTGGCTCCCTGAGCAGCCTTCTTTCTAAGTAGGAGCCAAGGAAGCCTGGAAGATCTTTGTCAAGAGAGGGGGCTTCCGTGGTCAAATCCTTCAGCAGACCTCTGGGAGCTTACTGCCAGCCTTGGGGTGGTAGGAAGCAGCCTTCAAGCCCTTTGTACCTCATCTGGCATTTTCTCCATTACAGTTCTTCATGTGTTCTGTTTCCATCCATCACCTCTGGCATAGCTTAGCTGTGGGGGGTGGGGGGTGGGGGTGGGGGAGTAGAGGTTTAACTTCCTTGTCTGATTCTGGTCTAGAAATTGTGAACTGGAGGAGGGGGTGCCAGCTGGAGGGAGCTGTTAGCACCAAGGCTGTGATCTATTATAAATAACCGTGTGTCTTTTTCCTAAGTGCAACCTGTGCTTAGGGGGGTGGTAGCAGAAAGATGATCATTTTTATGAAATATTTCAAATATAATGAACCACTGAAGCTTTTACAAATGTAAGTTTGTTGTCCATCTTGGTTTCAGATAGAAGAGTTAAAAAAAGTAACACATTACAGATGAGCGTTGAAGCCCCTTTGTGCCTGCCCCCTGTCCGATTCTCCCCTTTCAAACCAAACGTATGAAATCTTGCAACATTAACTAATGTTAGTGTCTTTCGCTTCTTCATGATTTTTATACCTTTCGTATTTCTGTGTGTATCCATACCAGCATATACAATTGTTTTGGATGTTTCTGAAGTTTACATGAACGGACATATCCCTTAACAAGTTACTTTTTCTTTCATTCAACATTCTTTATGAAATTTATCCAATAGGTATAGATTGAGTCTATTCACATTTAACTCCTGTGTGTAAACCATCATCGTACAAGCAGTAATTTCAACATTGTTCTACTGAACATTTAAATGGTTGCTACCTTTTTGTAGTCATAAGTAGTGCTGACATGGACATTTTCCTTGTGCATGTGTATGAGGGCTTCTTTGGGGCTTGGAATCACTGGGTATATGTCTTCTTCAACTTGACTAGGTATTCCCTCTCAGAAGTATTTGGACCAATTTTCAATTTTAGCCACAGAGTAACAGTTTTCCCTTCCCTTCCTCCTCACCTACATTCAGTGGGACATTCTTGTCTTTCCTTTGGGTGTGAATTGGTCCCCTACTGTTGTTTTAATTTTTTTTTCCCTGATTGTGATAAAGCTGGTCACCTTTTTATATGTGTATGTACCATTTGGACTTCTTGGGAAAGATTCTTCAAGGTGTTCTGATTATGGCTTGTGTCCTTTAGGTCAGCCTCAGGGTCAGCTGTCCCACACATGTATTGGTCATGGGGTCATGCTAACCACATACCATCAAGGCTGGGGTAGCCATGATTTGGCTGTAAGTTATAGTTGAAATGGTTATTAGACTACTGATTGTTTCTGTGATCTTGGTTGTCCATTTCCTGAATCTTTGATTTTAACTCGCGGCTGAGATCCAGCTACGCTTGTTGATGGATATTTATAAACACCGAATACTGGAGTTCCTCCATCTGAGGAGCTTACTGTCGACACAGCAATCCACAAGCAATTCAAGGCAGTGTATAATGTGTTAAAATAAGATGAAACATTCATTATTAATTCCATGCCATAAGAAGTAATGACAGTAGCAAAAGCAGCACTTATACATATAAGGATTAATATGCTTTGCTATCAAATTGAGAGGTCTAGGACTTGGTCAGTCAGAGAGGCTTCAGAGAGGCCAGGCCTTGAAAGGCAGACAGTCTTTTTTGGTTGGACAGAGGGAAGGAGGTGGAAGACTTGTGATTAAAGACAGCATGAACCGAATCATGGGAGATGTCAAAGTGGGACATGGTTTAGAGTGCCTATAGTTGCAATGGGGAGTTCTGAAGGTTCCTGAGTCAGGGTGTGGCATGATGAAAACGTCTCTTTTCTCCTTGGTCTGTCTACCTTGGATCCAGAAACGTCATCTGGCTAATGTACTTTCCCCTCTAGAGTTGTGGCTACTTTGGTGGTTTCTTTTTCCTCCTAGATTTACTTTTTGTGCAGAAGACCCTGAACACACCAGCATATCCCCAGACCAAGAGCTCTGGTTTCACAAGTGCCTGGATGGCTGGAGAATGAAAAATGAAACCAGGTAACCAGGATTTTCTCATATATTCATGCAGCACGTGTTGATGGGTCACCTAGCATGTGTGGACATGGGTCTGGGCACTTGGGACATAGCAGTGAACAAGACAGATAAAAATCCCTTCCTTTATGAAGCTGACCTTCTGCTGGAAGGAGATAGGCATGTCAGTGGAACATATAGAATGTCCGAGGGTGTTACTGTCCCTTTGCCTTTTGTTCTGTCTCACCCCATCGGGGTCACACTCATGGTCCTGGTGGAATGAGGTCTTTCAGTAACTATGTCTCTGGGGTTGGTGCCCATGCCCATCTTAGACTGAATGTCTCCGAGTGACTGGGGCTGTGGGAAGTTCCAGTGTTCCTAGCTTCCTTTTGGGTATCCAGCTGGAGTGAGGAGTTGGGTATGAGATAACGGAGAAGCACAAGGTATAGTCCCCTTTGTCAGGTTTTCAGGAACCCAGGTTGGTGTGGGGATATTGGTGAGCAATTCTCCTCCTTTTTGAGAAGCAGGGATGCTTGTGCGTGTGTGTAGTGCTGAATCAGACAAAGGGATCATCTTGCGTCAGTGTCCTAGTGCCCCATGCTAGAGTCCCATTATTTCAGAATTGAGGAAGGCTGATATCTCATGGTATGAGGCAGTGAGCACATCAAAAAGGGGGATCCGTCACACACACCCTGAGCCCAAACACCTGCTGAGGAGGGAGAACAGCCTCCCACTGGCCCCCACTTCTTGCCTCCACCAAGGTCCTAGATAACAATACTGCTGCCATGCAGTGAGCATGTAGCATATGCCCAGCCTACATTCAGTACTTTCCATATGTTATCATCATTTACTTTTACCATCAACACCATGCACTGGTGTTGGTAACCCTGTGTACCGCTGGGGAACCTGAGGCTTAGGGGGTTTTCTTTCCAGATCCCCCAGCTGGTGATGGCAGAGTGATTTTTGAAACAGATTGGTTTACTCTAAAACCTGTGCTCTTTCTTGAGCGTGGAGGTTCTACTCACTCAGATAAATCACCTCACCTCTATCTGGGTATCAATTATCAAGCAGCTGTGCCCATGCTGGGGTCCCCTGTGATTAACCGTCTGCCAACCCAGCTGCTCTGTCTACAGTCCTTCTTGCGTTTCTTGATCCAGGCAATTCTCCCCCTTTTTGAGAAGCAGTTCTCCCCACAATTGTGTGTGTGTGTGTGTGTTTCTTATGTATATGTGTGTGTGTGTTGCGGGTGAGTATTGTGCTAAGTATATAAATGCCAGCATTGAGATGTATGGAACTAAGAACCTAGAAAGGGTTCCAGTGTGGTCTTTCTCAGTGTGAATCTGTGGCTTGGTGAAGAGAAGGAGGAGGAAGCTCTCAGGCAGGAACTTTTCCATTTGCTCTGGAAGGGAAGCAAGGAAAAAAGTGTGGTAGGAATGTAAGAAGGCTTAGCTGTGAGGTGAATGGGCAGGCACACCCTCAATGCAGGGTGCGTGTCAATACAGGCTGGTATGTACGCTAAGCCAGCTAATGAATGCCACTCTCACCTGATTCCTTTCAGGTCAAATGTGGAGCTTCCCTGAGGCTGCAAGCAAGGCCCCCTGCTCCGTCTTCCAAGAACATGGAGAAAAGTTACTGCTGAGGACCCATCTGATGGAAGGACCCCTCTTGGCCTTGACCCTGAAGCATGGGAAAGAGCCTGCTTGCTGGGCCCAGGACCTTGCTTCCTGTGACAATTAGGACTTCTTATCAGAGGGGACTGTGCACTGCTGTTCCTGCTGTCCCTGCCGCTTCCCTAGCATAGCTCTAATGCCAGCTCTGTGTGCAAACGACTGAATGCCTAGGCCTCTTTTGTACACCAGGCTGGTTTCTAAGTGACTGGATGAGCCTGTGCTTTGCCTGACACGGAACACTGGCTCTGGGAAGTGGCTCTGTATGGAAGGCTGTCTGCTGCCTGGCCTGTCTTGAGTCATAGTGGGAGATCTTCCCACTGGGAGTTGACTCATGTCAGGATGGCAGACCTGTGACTTTGTTCACCCAGAGAGGGGAGAGGAAATCTGGGTGGTACTGAGGCCCTTGCTGTCGGGGTTCAATGGGCTGCATTAATCAATATCAGTTACTTTTTCAACATTCTGTCCTGCTCCTAAACTCGCTCTCTAAAGCACACATCATTGGGTTTCTTATTTTTGTATTGCTCATTTTTTTTATTGGACAAATGTATATTAAGCACGTAAACTTAATGGGTTGGAATTTGTAGACTCCCTTCCAGTTTATATGATCCATGAATATACATGTGATGAAGGCACAACGGGCATTAGGGGAGGGCTACAGGATGTAAGAGTTGGGGATCCTGAGGCTTTCAGTGGTTTCTACCTATTTCTTCTTGGTTATGATGTGCATTTCCCCTAAGAGTGACATATTTGATCACCAGCAGAGTATCATATGTGCTGGGGATCAGAATGGTGGCCAGTTGATAGATATGATTGCTCTGGAGCAAAGTCTCCTCTGTCATTGAAGTAGAAGGTATTACCTATGTTATACACATCTGTTTATACAGAACCAGCACTTGTCAAACAGCTGGTGCTAAGATTTAACACAGTGTTTTTCCCTCCTTGGAACACCTTGTTCTAATACTAGCCCCTTTTCTGTGTTGAACTTCTTGGAAAAGCCTCCAAATCTTCATTTGAATTAATATACACGTGATATCTGAGAAGCTCTTTTTTTTTTTTTTTACTTTCCAAAAGATTTACATGTGTGTCACCTAATTAGAGACTCACAATAGGAGGTGAGCTGGCCAGCTATTATTGTCTCTATTTTACAAAACTGAGGCTCAGTGAGGTTCAGCCACATGCCTAGAATCATATACCAAGTTGGCGATGGAGCCAGGTAATGACCCCGATTTCCTGGAGGCAAAGTACATGGTATGTTCATCTCTGTAACTTCATTAAGACTTCTACAGCCGTTTCTCACCAACTTGCCCTAGATGTGACAAACAAGGAATTTTTTTCAGAGCTAGCCATAAAACCCTAAGCCCTTTTATTAATATATAACCGGAAGAACAACTGTGCCAAGGGGTTGGGCTTTTTATGGATGAGATTTATTTGGAAGGAGATATGATGTCAGGTAGAGGGGAAGAGCGATTTTCTTTGTACTGAGATTTTGAAAGGAGACTGTTTTAATCTGTATTGTGCCAAAGTTGTATCATTGTTCAATGCCAAACTTCAGAAGACATAAGCAGTCAAGTCTTAAGTCAAGGTATTTTCTCAATCCAGTTGTGTGCTTCTCCTGTTGCTTCTGTGATTGCGTTCTAGCCAAAGTGGAGCTTGTATCCTAGTTACTTCCATTTTAGCAACGGGAGCCTTGGGAATCAAGTCCTCAGTGGGTCCTGTATTTATACATTTAGCTTGAATACTTATTTGTATATGATGCTTTTTGTAATGCTACTTAGAACATTATTTATTTCTCAAGTGTATATACTATACAAAACAATATATGGCTAGTTTTTACTTTAAGATTAACCAATTTCAAGGTTAAAAAATTTTAATATTAAAAATAATTTTAAAAATCTACAAAATTCTTAGTGGTCTGGCAACTCATTTCTTGAAATTTGAGAGACTTATGGCTGCCCAAGTCTAGGATTTGACAAAAAGTTACTTTAATATGAGATATAGTCTCTATTGGATACTACTTATTGGTAGGAAGTGGACAACAACTCCTTTCACTAAAGAACAAGAAGAACAATTATTTGAGTTGCAGTAGCAACACCTGAAGGTAGTTGTTAGTGGCTGGACATTGGGGAACATTAGTGAGGGTATGGGTTTGGTAGCATGGGACCTAGATAACAGTGACGTAAACCAGACAGAAGTTGATTTCTCTATTGTTTTAACTCCCAGCTAGTACTGAGGTTCTATTCCGTAAAGTCAGGAGAGTCTAGGCTCTTAGTTTTTTTGCTGTGTCATTCATAGGATGTTCCCCTCATCCCTACAGTCCAAAGTGTCCCCCATTAGGTCCCCTTCCAGCCAGCTGTGGGAAAGTGGAAAAAGAAAGGGGGCACATGTCCCCTCTAAGACCATGACTGAGAAGTTGCCCACATTGTTTTGGGCAGAAATCATAGAGTCACATGGGAAACTGGGAAATACTATCTTTATTCAGGGTGCCCGTGGGCCCAGTTGAAAATCCAATTACTATTTATAAAAAGTGAAATTGGATATTGCCATCTGTTCCTCAGGAATTAATTTTTATTCCTTAGAGGCAGGGAGATAGACCAGGGCACCCTTTACATCATTCAATTTTGTAGTTAATTTTTAGTACTTTGAAACTAAGCTATCACTTGAAAATTGATAAATTACTCCAATTTGACTTTTTTTCTGCTCTTAAATGTTACAGTGTTTTAAAATGAGAAGAAATCTCACTGTTAGGGTTTTTCATGATGGTGGAAAGTAGCTGCTATTTATTTCCACCCAGGACATTCTGAAATATTAGTCTTAATAATGGCGGTAAGGGAGGAACTGGTTAGACAGTAAGAGTTCTTAACCTAATTGTTAGTTCTTAACACAATTCCAGTAACAAGAAGAGGGCTGAAATCTCTCTGGTAGACTTCAGGAACATTTTGAAATTTCCCGAAAGTAGAAGTGTATCCTGGGTGACTCCATTATATCTTGTCTGACTTGGAAATTCAGTGCCACCCCTTCACTAACCAGAGCCAGGGAACTTCCATGGGACCTCCTTTGACCCTACAAACTGAAGTACTGGACTCTTTGGAAGGATGAATGCCAAGTAGGTACTACAACAGCCATGCTTACCCAATGTGGTATTTCTTAGTTATTGCCTCTGTGTTCGAAGCTAACCTGGGCCCTCTGACATGTTAGCTCCAGACGAGCAGAGAGATTTGTCTGGCTTGTTGGATTTTGCAGCCCTAGAACCTAGATTAGTGTCTGGAACATAGCAGGTATTCAATAGATACTTAAATGAATAGATGAAATTAGGTACAAGAAACCAGCTGCTTAAACAGGCAGTAAGGGAATTGGGAAATGAGTAATTAATTTGGAGTCGAAGTCCTGGTATGTTATTCAGTATTATGTGAGCTTTAGGCTAAACATAACCTTCC